TGCTGACTGAGGAGAAGTAAAGGCTAAAATAACACACTTCACACACAAAAAAAAACCCTTGTGTTACATTGAGATTTCAAAATAAAATTGGAAGGAAGACTGCTAGTGGGAAATATGTCCCTGACCTCAGACCTCTATCAAAAAAAAAACCTCTTAAAACAAAAAATCTGCAAAAGAAAACTCAAATCATGAAACCTAAGTATATTATTTATAGATATGTTTTAAGTTCTATAATTTAAACAAAGAAATACTCTTTAGAGCATACACAGAAAATTCTCCAGTCATCTGGCTAAGGGGATAAAAATTAGTGTTAAACTTCTTCCTAGTGACATTCAATTCTAGAATTTAGACGAGTACTTCTTACAAAGTTTCGAGAATTTGATTTGGTCATTTTGAACCTAAACATTCATTCAAGGACTAAAGTAACAGGCAAAGTTTTTGAACATTCAAAAATTCAGGGAAATCTTTACCGCAGGAGGATGGCCGACTAGGAGCAGCCTGCACGCACGCCCCTCTCAAGCAAGGAGAGGGAGGAAAGTTGCAGGCGGAGGCCTGCCTGTGGATGGCTTGTCTCAGAAAGAACATTTGTAAAACCCCAGAGCAATGATGTGTGATAGGACACTTCAAGTGAAGAAGGTGACAGGACAATTCGTTTGGCAAGATCAAAGGAATCTGTGGGGAGGCATTCCCACATAGGAAAGAGCAGGAGGACAGAGCCCTGGGGTGGGACACTCACCCCACAGGCACTGTGGCCCAAGTTGTGAGGGGGCTCCCTCCACCACCACAGACCTCTGGACTGATGGGGGAGCTAGGAGTCTGTGCAGAGACATTGCACTGGCGAGCAGGCACAGCAGGGATCTGGTGGCTGCCGGTCCCAGGTCTCTGCAGCTGACGCCATCCTGAGCTCTCAGGTGCACAGTGCCAGGTCTGCTTGGGACTTGACTTTGCAGCAGTAGCCTTCTTAGAGCTGCTGCAGGGCCAGGGAGGGAGCAGGCACAGCGGATGTTTCCCCGTGCCATCCCTGTGACTGGGAGCTGAGTGCCCCTTCCCCCAGTGTGGGATCTGAGCAAAGGAGGTGCCTCAGGTGTCACAGACACTGCCTGGGAGGCCTTGGGAAGCCACCTAAGTGGGACCAAGGCAGGGAGAGAACCTTGGCATGGCTCTGCCTCCACAGTTCTGGGACCCAGACCCAGTTCTTGGTCTGAGGATCTTGCTGCACCCAGGCCTGAGCCTCCACCCCTGTGGCTCCAGAGCTTCTGCTGGGCATGCAGCACCGCCCCTGAGATTCCAGCACTGCGCTTGGACCCCAAAGCCTCACCCCTGAGTCTCCACAACTGCCTCTGGCCTAGTACACCCACCCTAAAGTCCAACACTGCCAGGGAACCCCCAGCCTTGAGCCACCATTACACCTGGAGCTGGTTTGAGCAAATGCCCATTGCCTGGCGACCCATAACCCCTGCCTAGATAGCCTCACCCAGCTGCCACTGTCGCTTCTGCATGGAGACCTTAAGCAGAGCAATCCTACACAATGCCTGTCTCCATGGAAAGGGTCTCACCTGGCCCCCAACTCGAACTTCCAACAACAATGTGGGGAACAACGCACCACCCCGCATGAAGATCATCCAGCATTGGCATGAACAGTGGCAATTACAGGGGAATGGGACACAGTAGAACAGCTGCACTACAGTGTACCACCCCTCCTCTACCAAGTAATCATTCCAGAGTAGAATACAAAAGCATGATCTGGGGACTTCCCCTTCTAAGAGAGTTCCCAGCAAAGGAAAATAGGTACTTGCAAACCTATTAACCTTAATCTGAGAGAAGAGGATTCAGATGAGAAGAAACCAGCCAAAAGAACTCTGACAACATGAAAAAACAAAACAGTTCACCATTCCCCCAAAGGATCACAATGGAGCTACAGCAGTGAACTCCAACCACAGGAAATTGTTGAGATGACAGAAATGGAATTCAGAATATTGATGGCAAATAAGATGAATGGGATTAAAGAAAAAGTTGAAAACCAACAAAAAGAAGCCAACAAAAATATTTCAAGAAATCAATGAGAAAAATGAAAAAGTAGCCTAAGAACTAGACAAGTTAAAAAACAGATATAATTAAGCTTAGAGAAATGAAAGAGTCATTTGGGGAATTTCAAAACACAGCAGAAAGCTTCAATAACAGACCAAACCAAGGAGAATAAGCTCAGAGCTTGGAGATTGGACAAGGCTCTTGAGCTACTGCAGTCATTCAAAGAGGCAGAAAAGAGAATAAAAGTACTGAGCAATCACTTACAGAAATAAAGGACTATGTGAAGTGAACTCATATACAAATTATAGGTATCCTTGAGGAAGAAGAAGAAAGAGCAAAAAGCATGGAAAATCTATTCAAAGAAATTATTGAGTAAAATTTTTCCTGGTATTGCCAGAGATTCAGACATCCAGATGGTCACTGAATACCAGGAATAAGACATCTCTAAGACACATGGTCATCAACAGGGCCAAAGTCAAAATGAAGGAGAAAATTCTACAAGCATCAAGACGAAAGCAACAGCTAACTTACAAAGGAAAACTTGCCAGGCTAACTGCAGGATTCTCAGCAGAGATCCTATAAGCCAGAAGGAATTGGGCCCCATCTTCAGTCTTCTTAAACAGAACAACTGCCAGCCTAGAATTTTGTATCCCACAAAACTAAGTTTCATAACTGACAGATGTCTTTTCCAGACAAGCAAATACTCAGGGAATTTGTCTCAACCAAACCTGTCCTACAGGAAATACTAAGAACTGCATTATATGTGGATCAGCACGACAGACACCCGCCAGTGTAAAATCACCCAAAAGCTAAAGCTCACAGCTTGTATAAATCAATAACACAAGAGGGAAAACAAAACAATACGTCACTACCCAACATGATGAACAAAACAGTATCCCACATATCAATTCTGTCACTCAACATGAACAGTCTGAACGCCCCACTTAAAAGACAGGCTGGTTGAATGGATGAAAAAACACAGCCCAAGTATCTGCTATCTCCAGGAAAGACATCTAACACAGGACTCACACAGACTCAAGGTGAAGGGATTTAAAAAAATTCCACAGAAATGGAAACCAAAAGAGAGCAGGTTGTAGCCATTCTCATACCAGATCAAATTGACTGTAAATCAACAATGGTAAAGAAATACAAAGATGGTCATTATGTAATGGTAAATGGAGCAATTCAACAAGAAGACATAACTATATATATATGTATATAACCTAACACAGGAGCTCCCAGATCATAAAGCAAGTTCTACCAGATATAAGCAAAGAGATAAATAATAACATCATAATTGTCAGGGACTTCAACACGCCATTATCAGAGCTGTACGTATCATCCAAGTAGAAAATAAATGAAGAATTACTGGAATCAAATGAGACACTTGAACAAATTGAACTAACAGACATTTATCGAACATTCTACCCCAAAACTACTGAATATACATTCTTCTCATCAGCACATGGGACATTCTCCAAGATTGATCATATCTTAATCCACAAAACATGTCTCAGCAGATTCAAAAAAATCAAAAACATACTATGTATTTTCTCAGACCACAGTAGAATAAAACTAGAAATCAATTCCAAGAGAAACACTCAAATCTACACAAAGTCATGGAAATTTAACAACCTGCTACTGAACGATTATTGGGTCAATAATGAAATCAGGATGGAAATCAAAAGATTCCTCAAACTGAATGACAAAGGGGACACAAGCTATCAAAATCTGTGGGATTCAGCAAAAGCAGGCCTAAGGGGAAATCTTTACCATGAGCTGAAATGAAAGTTCTGGAGAATAAACTTCAGCCAACCAACAGATAAAGAACCTATACCAAATTACCAAATAAATGACACAGAGATTGAATCCATCTAACTGTAGGGCACAAATCATGATCTAACAAATGTGTGATTACAAAATACTCATAAATATACAGATACTTTAGTGAAAAAATTATACTACTTATAAGATTTTGGAGAAGAGAGGATGAGGAAAGTGGGAGGTAGTTCTTTTTTATAATAAAAATAACTAGAATAAATAGGTAAAAAAAATAAATAGGTAAAATGGAGAGTTATGAATTTGTTTCCAGTTATAAGGAAAACACTAAGGAAAACTAAAACCATGTGGGCCGTCGGGTAGAAGAGAATAGAATGATTGGAGATATACTAACACTAATCAATCAGAAGTATTTTAATGCCTCATTTTAGAAATTTTAAAAAATTGCTTCTTAAGAAATACCAAATTATCGGCTGGGCGTGGTGGCTCACGCCTGTAATCCTAGCACTCTGGGAGGCTGAGGCAGGAGGATTGCTCAAGGTCAGGAATTCGAAACCCGCTTGAGCAAGAGCGAGACCCCATCTCTACTATAAATAGAAAAAAATTAACTGGCCAACTAATATATATAGAAAAAATTAGCCGGGCATGCCTGTAGTCCCAGCTACTCGGGAGGCAGAGGCAGGAAGATTGCTTGAGCCCAGGAGTTGGAGGTTGCTGTGAGATAGACTAACGCCATGGCACTCTAGCCTGGGCAACAGAGTGAGACACTGTCTCAAAAACAAAAAAACCAAATTAATCATATTATTAATATATACATGATATATAACTACCTTTCTATGCTGTTAAGGGTGCAGGAAAAAAACTCCATACAAAACAAACAAAAAAAGCAACCACAGCCCCATGAGGTGAAAGATAATACAATATTTTTAAAAGTATTAAAAATGGAAATATTGTTAAAGATTTAATGTTAAAAATTTTACAGAGATAAATGAGTAAGACCCTTAATCAAAAGACGGTTGTTATTGGGTTGTAAATTAGAACACATTTATAACTTGTTTATAATACACAAAAGGATAGTCAAGTGAACAAAAATCATGATCTAAGGCATTAGTTTTCAATGACAACCCATGAAATAAACAATGAAATTTTACCTTATATCCATCAGATTGGCAAAAATTTAGAGGAATCTTGAGATTAATATTAATACCATATTATTATTAATATATTGTTAGGGCACAAAGAAAGTAAAACACATATATTTCTGGTAAGAACGAAAGTTGTTTTAGCCTTGTTGGAAAAATTCTGGCAACATCTATATAAAATAAGATATTTGATTTAACAGTCCTATTCTTGGGAATCTTTATCAGAATTAGAGGCACAAATATGTAAGGATATGTGTACAAGGGTATTTATTGTGGCATTAATCATATTGGCAAACATAATATAATGGCCATTATGTTATGAATGGCCATTAAAAGGGATATAGTTGATTAAAAAATGGCTTATCCCCACAATGGGATATTATTCAATAATACTTCAAAAATTAATTTGTAGGCATGTCAACTGAGTGAAGATTTCCATATTTTGTGTGAAAAATCTAAAAATAAAATCATAAGTACAGGATGCTTCCATTTATTACACAATGGCCAAAGTTTTTAAAAACCATATATGTATATGTGTATATGTATATACATGTATGGGTACATATATATATATGATTAAGGGAGGCAGGCAGAGAATGAACATGTTTGCATAATATTGAGTAATATGGAAGAAAATACAGGATAAATAAAGGTTGTTTGCATGCATGACCTATTAAAGGATGTAGAAAGTGTTGTAGAATTTATTCTACAACACTTGTAGTGTTATGGAAGTGTTATGGAATTTATTATGGGGAGTAAGATAGCTGACAGGAGATGCAATTAAAAACAAAAAGATAAAGACTCTCCTTTTAGAAACATTCTGCAGGACATAATTTCATTTATCAATTCATATAAAGTTATGCATGTTTAGATATATCTGTATGTAACATTAAACAAGAAGTCAAGTCTTCCTGCTTCAATATCAGGCACTGTTGAATCTAGAGCAAATGTATTTGGGATTTAAATACATCAAAATTTGCCAACTTTACTCACAATTAAAAATAAATACAGTAGATCTAGACAGAAATATCACTTTAGTTCAGGTTATCAAAGACTGAACATTTTGATAAGTTACTGTGTTGGCAAGAATATGGAAGACACTGATTGAAGTTTAAATTGGTACAACTTCTACAGAGGGCAATTTAATCATAAAATCATACCTACCCTTCAACTCAGCAATTGCACTTCTAGGACTTTATACTTCAGGGACAGTTTCACACCTGTGAAATAATATATTTATAAGAATAGTCAGTGTGATGTTTATCTGTAGTAGTGAAAGCTTGGAAATAATCACACTGTCCATTGACAGGAGAATGTTCCAATAAATTATGTTAAAATCTCTACCATCGAAGGCATTGCAGTCTTGGAACAAATCAGGGGAATCCTATGTATTGAAATGGAACTATCGTTAACATATATTAAACAGAAAAGGTACAGAATAGTGTATATAATATGCTATCATGTGTATAGAAGTGAAAATGCAAATATATGAAAATGCAAATATGCTTATAATAACTGGTTGCTAGGATAAGGGACATTTTGGCTAGGAAACAAAAGTAGAAAAACAACCTATTTTTCATGGCATACATTTTTATGACTATCAAATTTTGTATCATGAACCTGTAATAACTTACTTAGAATGCAAATAAAATAATTTAATTTTATTAAAAATTATTGTTAAGATTTAACAATGTATCTCTATGTATATTCCAACATTTGAATATTTTTCCGAGCTAGACCATTTAAGAAAGGATTGTTTTTCAGTGGACTTTTATTCAGTGTTAGAAAATTGAGATAGGCCTCTATTACTGATATGGGAAAAAAGATACACAGGGTATGTGTGCTTTCATCCTCTGTGAAAATGTAGACATACAAATGGGTATATTAGCATAAAGAATTCAAGAAAGATATTCAGTAAAGCATTAACAATGGCAAGCTGCTTTGGGGATTGAGGGGATTGGAGAGAGATATTTATTAGTTACTTTATATCCTATTGTTTGAATTTTTAAAATATGCGCATGTCTTGGTTTTATGAAAGAAAAGAACGAAGGAAGGAAAGAGGGGAAGAAGAGAGTGAGGGAGGAGGGAGGGAAGATAACAAAATATCCTACTTCAAAACAATGTGAGAGTACTTTTCTCCAAGATCCCAGACTTATGAAGGAGACTAATTTGTACTAAGTATTGATCAAGGTCTCTCAGAAGTCTTTGTTAAAGAAAAAAAATCATTTTAATAAAAATGTGCCATAGAGATAACACCTTTGGAAGGTGAAGTGAAAGTGAAAGTCCTAATGAAATAATAATTTGCAGATATGTACTCTCACTAAAGGACGTCTCCTTGGAATGCAAGTAGAGTTGCTAAGCGTGAATTTTATTTAAGTTATTGAATGGAATGCATTTCTCAAGTCTCTCAAGCATAAAACCTAATGCCTAATTTAAAGGATAAGTTTGTGTAAAATGCTGATTAGGTCATTACCAAAATAAACCATTAAAATGCTATTAAGGTTTTTCTGTTTGCTAATTTTCCCTTTCGAAGCATTGAACAATATTGTCTTATAGAAAAGTTGATCATTTGAACCCCAGTTTTTTTATTCAAGTACTAAAATCAAAGTCTATCCTACCAGCTAAACAAAAGAAAACTCTGAAAATATATCTCCGGTCTCAACAGATGGTCTATTTAGTATATAAATTCAGTTTAATGACCAGCATGCATCATTTAAAGTATATTTTAAGGATTTTTTTTTCACATTCTTTTATAGATGCAACATTTGGCATCTACAAATGACTAAAAAATATACAAGTCTTCAAAAAATTCATAAGTTAGTAAAATTATTCCTAATATATTCAAAATAAACTGTGTCAGTTACTTACATTTTGAGTTTATCATTTTCTTCTGTCAGGCATTCAATGAACTTTTCTAGAATGCAAACATAGTGTGTTTTCTCATTTCATGTCCCTAAAAAAATATTTTCCAACAGTAGACAAAAAGTATAGACATTTGCAGGCATCGTATAAGGCAGCAAAGCAGAAATGAAAATCCAAAACAAAATGGGAAATACCTTGAATTTTCGACTATGTAAAATCTACCTGTCAGAAGTGCTTTGGGAGTTTCACCTGAGCATTAGTTTTCCAGTCAGGTCTCCTTGTTCGCTCCGGACTCATCTTTCTTCTTCCATTAGCTTTGATAAACAAGAATTGCAAACCTTTAAAATTCAATCTTGCCATTCAACATTTACTCTGACTCTAATGTAATTCTTTGAAGATACTCATCAATTTGCTTCTTTCCCTCTTCTTATTCTGCCATGGCGCTAATAGATGTTTCAATTAAAAATAAATCCTGGGGTCTGATCAGATAGCTTAATTAGAGGTTAACTAACAAAAACCAACACTCTTAACTCCAGAGCAGAGATTGTAGAATGACCTAAAAGCCAGAAATAGTTACATTTTTCAGGATGCAGGATGGATTCTATCTAATTAGAAAGTATAAACTAAATTTGAACACTGTAAAATAATTTATGGGATATGAGACTATACAGTTATTTAGGTATAACTTGTATTTTTTGTCACTTATAATTCCAGGTGGAATTTTGAGAATTTATAGAAAGAAAATTAAAATATTTATTTTAATGATATTATATTTTGAATAAATCGAATCTCCCATTTTTCTTTCAAATGTGTGAAAGCCTTATTTATTTTCCCTCTAAGGTTCTCACTTTTTAAAGAGAATATTTATTTTTAATTAAAAAATAATAGTACATATTCATGGAATACATAGTGATGTTTTGATACATATAATGTATAGTGATTGTCAGATTAAGGTAATATTCATCATCTCAAACATTTATAATTTTTTGGTATTGGAAACTCTCAATATCCTCCTTCTAGCTATTTGAAACTATATAATATATTATTGATAACTATAGTTGTTCTACAGTGTTATAGAACACTACAGTCCTCTCTTTTTAAGATTTGATGTTTCTGGTTCCTCCAATACTCAGTTGCCATGGTTTCTACACTTTTTACCCTGCATCTTTAGAAACTCTCCTATTATCAGTGCCCCTGTTAAATTATGGTATGAGGAATTCAACAATCATTTGTGATATGATTATTTCATAATTTTGTATAATTAGTCTGTTCCTTTGAGAGGCAATATATAGCCCAGAGGTTAAAAGCAAAAAATTTCAAATCAGGCTTTGAATCTTCGTTCCATTGTTTCTAGCTTTGTTTTATTACTCTGCAAAATGCAAAAAAAAACACAAAACCTTTGTGATTCAACATGTCAAACACTTAGAACAATATCTAGTATGTAAAAAAGCACTATAGAAATCCTTATTTTCATCTTTTGTCTAAGATATTATATTCTTAAAATCTACATTAAAATAATGATACTTGATTTCCCTCTATTGGGAGAGAGATATACACATCAAATTCATATGACTCATGATATACTTGTAATAAATAAGCTAAAATTCTTAGCATACTTTTACATAAATTACTAGTAATTCAAGGACACAAGAGTTCTTGAATACATATTGAAGTTGTATTTCTTGATGTACTCAGAAGAAATAGAAAACTTCAATCTACATTCCCTGGGAATCTATGAGGTATTTTAGGTCTAGCCTAGATTTGAGACTTATAACCTAGATTTAATGCTTATAAATTCTTATATTTTAGTAAAACTGTGGATAAACTTTTATTTTATTTGATCTTATTTGTCCAGCACCATTATATCTTTGTGATAGATTGGATTTAAATTGGGACAAAAATCAACGTATCTTTTTATAGTTTAAAACAAAGTTTCGTGTTCTGTACTTATCCAAAGTAGGGCAGCCTCATTTTTTTTTTAATAGGAGACAGGCCTGATGTAGAAACTATACTGAGGTCATTTGAGAGTAATCAGGTCAATTAGAAGGCATTCTTTTGCATTCTATTTGAATGTGTGTTCATTTATGACTTGGTAATATTTAAGTATAGTAAATAAATAATAATTATGTTTTCCCTAAGTATAGAATGATCAGAAATATCCAAAAAGAGATTGTTTAAGGTGCTGCTGGATCAAAATATAATTGAATTTTATGGTGAATTAACCCTATCACTATTAATTGGATGATTACTTCTGTTGCCATGGCAGCAATTGTCTTCTTTAATTGAGTTAGACATATTTTGATTGGTATTATTAAACTAAAAATCAAAGTTATCAAAGTTGGTTAACAGTATTTTCTCAAATGATATTTAGAGGGGGTGAGAATTGATGCAGGTACTCCCCCATGGATTATAACATACACATCTATTACAAATACCCCATAGGTAGAATTAGCAAATTTCATACTAGTTTGACTTTGTCCAAATGGCTTACTCTCATCTAGCTCAGCCTCATTTTGCATACAAAAAGTACTCTCACTTAGTGACTGTGTGGGTAAATGTTAGCTTATGTACCTTCCTTTAATTTCTCTTTCTTACTGTCTCTATCATCATCACTTTTTTATTATTATCTTTTCTTCCTCTCCTATTTCATCATTCTCTGTTTATTCAATTCTACCTAAGGAAATATATTTCATACATGAAAACAAAATTCTTAGTCAAGTGGCATCCTTTTCCTTTGTAAAAATCTTGATGTAGACCATGGCATGAACATATGGATTGTTCTCCATGAAAAAGCAAAGTGAAATAATTGTCTAAAAGGGAAATGCCAGTCTCTGACATTCAGTACTAGACTTATTTTAAACATTGTGATGTGCATAAATATCATTTGGAGAGCATGTGGCAATGCAGACACAATGGAGCCTACCTTAAGTGACTTTGGTTCTATGAATCTGGAGGAATATGCATCCTTCATTGTAAACAACGTCCCCAGAGCTCCAATGCATTGTCATGCAGGTAGCTCTGGACTTCTCTAAGGAAAAGTGGTCTAAGGAAAGCCAAGCCCTGGAATTAGCCATGGCTTGATGAGCTTGCTGTCACATAGGGAAATGCAGTTACTGGCTATGCTAGAGCAGGGCTCTGGGGTTTGATGGCAAAGCTTCTTCAATTCTTTATGTTCCTGGGTCTTTGTTTGATTAGGACTATCCATTAGTTGAGTCAGAAGTTTGAAAACTGAGACAATTGTAGCCCTTTAAATTGCTCAGCATATTTCATAGACTATTGCGACAGTGTACACAGAAAGTACTGAACTATTTCTAAACTAAGGGGACCAAAGGGATCCAAATGTTCATTCTTAGTATTACATAAATATCTCATCATTAATAATAGGCTTGATACATGATAGAATAATGAAGCTTCTGAAGAGCATACTCCACTTGATGAGTTTAGTGACTTCTCAGACATTTTAATTGATTGGGTTTCTTAGTTCATTCCTGGCATGAAGTCTGGATATTACTTCAGTCATATATATGATGTACCTTTTCCTGAAGAGTTAGGGAAAATATACTATGTAAACATGTGCTTTTTAGGAAGTGAGATTCATCAACAAAAAATGGCAAACCCATAAAGAGTCTAAAATATTTGTAACTAAGTTCTTGCCCATAAGATAAAAGGACATTTTGCTTTCATGGGATTCTTTGCTGAGGTATACTGGTTTGGTCCAAAGATGCTTTCCCTTCAGAATGAGTATTATAAAGGGCTTTCAAGCTGATGGTAAGAAGTCAAGAAGTTTCTGTAGCTCTATTTATCTGAAATTAAAAGCAAATCTATTAAAATGCCATACCAAACTAGAAACTCAAAATCAAGTGTTTAAAAGCAACTTAAAATCCAGAATCCACAAAGCCAGGTAGTCATTGTAAATCTAGCAATTAAAATACAAAAGTGAACCTCGTAACATGCAGTTTATTCAAAAATTCTTTAGCATTTATTGCCAACTTTAATGACTAATGATCAGTTGTGCTCATTTTCTGTGTATGTGTATGAAAGCTATAATAAAAGATTTTGCAGAGCAGAGAAACAGTGCTGTTAACTGTTCTTTTATCTTTAGTAGGGGACAAAGGTAAGAAAGAATATCGGGAAGTTCTTCTATAATAATTGGAGACATTGATTCGATTTGGATATTGAGAGATATGTCAAGTTAAAACAGGTGCATTTAATTAGTCAGAAATTAAAATTACAAGAGAAGAGCAAAGCCTCAGTTAGGGGATTTGCTTATATCGCCTCTCATGTCCTGGTTCAGATCCTCCAATTCGTAAGTATTCTCAGCTAATTTTTGATGATTAACTAATCATAACCGAATTGACAAGCAATTCTAAATCAGAGCGATAACTTACTGACTAAGAGACATGTTAATGCAAGGAAAAATAGAGCACTTGCCTCCTGTGTTAGCACATTTATCTCTATAGAACAGCGTATTTGGTGATAACGGAGTTGCCATATGGAAAAGTAATTAGGTGAACTTAAAAGCTAATACACTGAGCTACGAAAACCTCACGACTCCATCTCCACTACAGGTGTATAATTACAAAATAAACTAGAATTCCTTGTCAACTACTCACGGAGCCATCCCCTGTCAATAGTAACCCCTTGTGGCTTCCCTTTCTCTAGCTTTCACTCAGACAATTTTTGAAAATACGTTTCAGATATGGTAATGTAGTACATACATAACATTAATTTTTCTTTACGTTTTGATGACAGTGGTAAGGTATATCATCCTTTCTGCCATTGTTTAAGTGGCAACCCTTTCTTCTGCAGCTGTCCCTCTCAAATTCAAGTTGGATTCACTAAGGGGCTTATTCCAGATTTGGTTGTTCTGTTAAGGGGATCAGAAACAATATTCTGAGAAATGCTGCCCTAAGGAATTCTGTAGATAATTAATCTCATCCACAATATGTGATATTGCAACTTGAAGTCTGAGATTTGTCAATATCTCTCTGAAGGCTGTCTTGGAAGTGAATTTTTTTTTTTTTACATGTAGTTTATTCATGGATAAAAATGACTTAAATGAAGCCAAAACTTCAAAGTTTAAACAAGTTACATGATTAATTTTGTCTCTAAGCAAGTAAAAAACCCAAGTCAATCAAATAGCTATTCTCCTACTATGAACACAGCCTGGTATTTAGTTCTTAGCCTGGAAATGTGTTTGTATCATTAAATCAGCTTCACAATTTAGGAACTAGCTTTATAAACCATTGAGTCCAAACATATCTCCTTATGGAGAGGGAAACAAGTGATTTGCCATGGTGACGCAGTTATCCCAGCTGGATCTGAATCCAAATCTCATGATGTTCAGTCCAGTAATTTTTCAGATGTGGCCAATGAAGGAGCCACAGGGAAAAGTATGAAAAGTGCCAAGTTATTTTGAAATCTAAATGTAGTTTTAAACTGACACAGATCCACAGTTTTTGCATTGATCCCCTGTCCTAAGATAACTTCAGCATAGAAATACTAAATGTACTTTTTATGTCCAAATTTTAGAAACTTGTCCATTGAAAACAATTATAATTTATTTCACTAAAGACAGAGAGATTCAGAGAGATGAATAAATGGTGAAAATGACTTAAGGAGACAAAAAAAGTTGTTATATATTACATTGAGTTATTGGAGCTTTATAGAAATAAGCATATTTACTGCAATCTTATCTAAAACCATTGGAGAAATTTAGCTAAAATAATTTATCTACAAGTTGCTCATTTATCTTTGATATTTATCAAATCATTTAATCAAAAATAC